ATAGACGTTCAGCTGCCTGTGCTTTGCTATATACAGTCAAACCAAAAATAATTCAGACACCAGACCAGATATCATTTTTGATATATTTTTTTACTAGTGTGTGCAGGACACTATAGTTCATTTATGTAAGTGAGGAGAGCAAAATAAAGTAAACTGTGACATATTACACCCAAATATTCTTCATACAGTGACTACAAGTAACATTTATAAAATTTGGGACCACAAATTATTCAGACATTTTGACCTGATCATGTGTTTTTTCTTTAATTGCTAATGCGACCTTTTTACACACAGACTGAACAACATGAAGCATTGCTTGGTCACTGGTTGAGCTAAATTGGTATTATCTAATTGTGTAGTTAAATTTAACAGCTGACAGATATTCAACATAATTCATGTGTGAGAGTCTAACAGAAGGACGGACAAAACCAGTCAAATATCAAATGATAACTCTTTTGCCTTCTAACCTTTTTCTAAACTATAGTGAATAAACTGTGATAATGTGAGAAATGTTGAAGGTCTCTGAATTAAATGTTGGTTTCACTGTATATACTCTCACGTTCTGACAGCAACCGCCTGCATTAAAACCTCGCACGCACATCATAAAGTTACTAAAAACTCAGTTTATGTGGAAAAAGACTCATCCCACTGCTAATGAAAGATTTGAAAATCTGATTTTGTTCCGTTTGCGAGTCGTGTAGTTCAGCCACATTCACACAGACAAAGAAAAGTGTTCTTTGAAACGGCAGGTCGCATGTTTTCCTCACCTCCACAGGAGCCATAAAGGTTACATTGCCAAAGGACGTGTTTTAATGGCCTATCTACAGTCTAGATATCACACTGCTCCAGTGACTGCACTGACCTTCAAACTTTACCTTCAGCTCTAACTACATACTAAATATATAATGCCAGAGGAAAATTATATGGCTCAGGGAACATAATGGCGTTTCATTGAAGCTCCTACTTTGATGTTTCTCTTGCAGCAACTTGAACTGCCTTTGACTTTGTTGAGACATTGTTGAGTGTTTTTCTCATGCACAACACTTTGCTGATTGTGTTATCGGCATCCTTATGCGATCGCGTTATCGTAATCTTATTCAAGCTCTAATTGGGTTACGCTGAGTGCTTCAAACGGTCAACTCTACGTTAACTTATTAGCTTGGTTAACTTGGTCAACGTTGTTAAATCTCTCTCATCATGATCCAGTGAGAAAGAGTTTTATGATATTATGCCTTATTCCCAGCCTTTATAGTTGAATAAATCCAATCCAAGCAGTAGAAAAACTGCTTTCAATACAGATGTCGACATGCTTCAAAACTAAATCGGATTCTCCCATAGTCGGGACTAGATTTCACAGTGCGAGTGCGTCTTCAATGGCCCGTTTCCCAAAAGCATCGTTAGCCAACTATGGTTGCAAGTTCCGTCGTTATCAGCAGTTTAACGAGTCGGTGTTTCACGAAACCATCGTACGAACATTCGCAAACAGCATCGCAGAGTTGTGTGTTTGAGCGACAGATCTCGAGCTGTGGTTAGAAGCAGTTTCTTGTTTGCATGACATGTGGACTCAATAAATCCTGATCTTGAGCAAAATAAGCAAGCTGACATTCAGTACAACCTGTGTCTTTTATTTAGAATATTTAGAAATGTGTATCCTTAGCATGACAATTCTAACTATTATAATATACTATACCACATTAAATTATTATTAAATTACTTTTACAGAACATAGTATGTTGCAACAATCCGTGTAAAAAAAAATACATTGCTAGGCATGGTTGTACGGAAGCGTATTGCATTCACTTGAAGAAAAAAAAAAAACTACTGTTTTTCTTAATTAACGAGTTAATTATCTCAGAATTATGAGATACATTTTTCTTGAAAAACATTTTTTTCACTCTGTTTTTATGAATTAATGAGTTACTCATAATTTTTAGATAATTAAGTCATTAATTTAGAAAAACAGAGCAAAAACTTTTTGCAATACGCTTCCATATGGTTGTGTTTGTTTTATTACGCAATAGGCATTCATTTTTATATTAAATAGGTTGTAATTAGTCAAGAAATCGTGACAAAGGCTTTTGATCAGGCATTACCGCCTGGGTCCTAAAGGAGACCCAATTGACCCTTCGCAGGGAGTTTGATTGACAGGCGATCTGACCAATCATAATCCGGCATCCGCCGAATCCGCCATTTTTGTCTGACAAAGCAGTCGGGAGAGTTAGTAGATTAACGTCGGAGGATTTGAACGTGAAAAATGTCTTTCCACGGTTAAAACAACATTCCTTCTGATGTTCATTCATGTTTATTTGATGCTATGAATGAACTAGAAGGAAGAGATGATCGGTTCACGAGCAGCTTTAACTGAGTGATCTGTCAGACACATTAAAGAGCCACAAAACGGTATTTATTGTTTAAATTTCTTAACAAAATTACCAAATTTGAAAGTTGAGACTTTGTTTCATATCAAAAGTAAGCTGGTCTGTCAGTGTGTTGTCAGTGTCCTCTCTGCTCCGCGATGTGTGTTTCACTGCGTGAGAACAGGGTGTGTGTGAGAGCAACAGGGGCGGGTCTAACTAAAGGGGGCGGGGCTTTGCGAACGGGCAATTCTTAGAGGGGGGTGGGACTCGATTTCTCATGACACGCCTTCTCGGTGACATCACGCACGTCGTTAAAGATGCCAAGCAATGATTGGTTGGGGGAAGCAACCAAAATATGGTGTAGTCTGAACCCTGTGACCTCACCATGACCTTTTTTACTTTACAGGCACAAACAGGAGTCCATACGTTCCTGCGACTGCACTGAAGTACGCGGCTCTCCTCTTAACAACACACCCTTATAAACGGAGAGAGAGTGTGATAAAAAGCTGTTAAGGCAATTTCCTTCTCAGTGGATCAAAACTAATAAGTGTTGCTGTGAGTAAATCTTCAAGGATTATTCCTCAAGGAAATCTAGAATGGAAAACTGTTTTCCTGTGGTTGTGTTTCAGGCGCTGAGCTTTAGTGACGGAGCGCCTTCATTGCATTACATGTCCAAGGTTACACTGCCTATTGATTTTCCTTTACGACAAGAATAGAGTCCTCACTCAATTTGACTCGTATTGAACAAACAAGGCTCAGTTACTCCGGTACAAGTGCTTCGGAGGCTCGTGCATACAAACATTTCCATACTATTTATAGGTATAATTTTGAATGATGATATCAATTGATTTATTTAGTTAAATATTCAATTTTGAATGCATTCATTCATTTAGTTGTGTTTTTATATGTACACATCATCTTATGTGGAAATATTCAAATAAATAAATGCAGAAATACTGCATTTATTAAGTAATTAGTTTGTAAACTTATAATTATAGGCTATATATATATATATATATATATATACACACATACATACATACATGCCTACATACATTATATTATATTATTATTATAATAAATAAATGCAAAAATACTGCATTTAACTAACTACAATTTATTAACCAAAATTATATATATATATACACACACACACATACATGCATGCCTACATAGATTATTTTATATTATATTATATTAGCCTATATTATATTATTATAATAAATAAATGCAAAATACTGCATTTATTAAGTAACTAGTTTGTAAACTTATAAATATAGACTATATATATATACACAGACACACACACACACACACACACACATGCCTACATACATTATATTATTATAATAAATAAATGCAAAAATACTGCATTTAACTAACTACAATTTATTAACCAAAATTATATATATACATACACACACACACATACATGCATGCCTACATAGATTATTTTATATTATATTAGCCTATATTATATTATTATAATAAATAAATGCAAAAATACTGCATTTAACTAACTACAATTTATTAACCAACTTAAAAAAAAAACATTGTGTGTGTATATATATATATATATTCACAACTAACTGAAATTAATAAATGAATAAACAATCAATATCTTAAAATGGTATCATCATAAATTATTATTTGTAGCGCTACATTAAAAAGTCACTTCTTCACCAGTGAATGAATGAATAATGTGCAGTGATTGTCTGATGCTATTATAGAAACATGATTCACGAGACGTTTGAAATAAACACACCGGCTCATTGAAGGCAGAAATATCAGTGACAGAAAACGAGACAGTGATTGATGGGCTGACGGCAGACAGAGCTGAACATATCAATTCAAAACGTCTCACTGCGTTAGTGAAATACCTTCTGTCCGAGGAGGAATCTGTCGATATCTGTATGATTCGCATGTCCGGAATATACATCAACATGTACTTGCACTTATGTTACTACTGGATGCAATTTACAGGATCGTTAGGTTACAATCGTGTTGACTTAGGTTTGAATGCAGGCTGTCGGGCGAGTGGCGCTGCTGAATAATGCCGGGCAGAAACAGTGTGTCCTTCCACTCAGAAACACCGTCATGGCCGAGTAGAAGAGAGAGATCGAGAGCTGAAGGATTATAAAATAAAGCTCAAAACTCGATTACGCTGATAGCATCAGTACACAGTGCTAACTAACACAACACTGGCCGGTGTGCGCGCTCTCACACACACACACGCGCGCACAGTCGCGCACGCACACACACACTTACCCTACCCCTAAATACGCATCACACAAAGATTTCTGCATTTTTACATTTTCAAAAAAACTCATTCTGTATGATTTATAAGCTTGTTTCCTTAATTTAGGCTCACAGTGACACGAGTCCACATGAGTGTGTGTGTATTCAGGTTTAAGTCTCCACCGGGATAGAACGGACACACACACACAATCACACGCGTGCGCGCACACACACACACACACACACAAAGTTCTGTACAGTAACAGTTCATGCTGCGCTTCCTGAATGTTTTCTTCAGTTTTGCGTAATTAAATGCTTTTTAGTAGTTTGCGCAAACAATTACAACAGTGTAATATATGTTACAACAGCAGTTTGAGGAACAGCGATGGAACCCGTGAGACTCACATGTAAGACGGTCCACTGCTCCACCACTATAGCGTCGTACGCAGAGTCGCTCTCCTCGCTCTCCTGGAACACAAACACACTCTCCACTGTCCTGATGAGCAGATCTGAGGAGAACAGGAGAAAACAGAGTCAGTATCTGTCCGTCCATCCATCCACTCATCCATTCATCCATCCATCCATCCATCCACTCATCCATCCACTCATCCATCCATCCATCCATCCACTCATCCATCCATCATCCATCCATCCACTCATCCATTCATCCATCCATCCACTCATCCATCCATCCATCCATCCATCCACTCATCCATCCATCCATCCATCCATCCACTCATCCATCCATCCATCCATCCACCCATCCACTTATCCATCCATCCATCCATCCACTCATCCATCCATCCATCCACTCATCCATCCATCCATCCACTCATCCATCTATCCATCCATCCATCCATCCATCCACTCATCCATCCATCCATCCATCCACTCATCCATTCATCCATCCATCCACTCATCCATTCATCCATCCATCCACTCATCCATCCATCCATCCATCCACTCATCCATCCATCCATCCACCCATCCACTCATCCATCCATCCATCTATCCATCCACTCATCCATCCACCCATCCACTCATCCATCCACTCATCCATCCATCCATCCATCCACTCATCCATTCATCCATCCATCCACTCATCCATCCACTCATCCATCCATCCATCCATCCATCCATCCATGCATCCACTCATCCATCCATCTATCCATCCATCCATCCACTCCATCCATCCATCCATCCACTCATCCATCCATCCACTCATCCATCCATCCATCCACTCATCCATCCATCCATCCATCCACTCATCCATCCATCATCCATCCATCCACTCATCCATTCATCCATCCATCCACTCATCCATCCATCCATCCATCCACTCATCCATCCATCCACTCATCCATCCATCCATCCATCCACCCATCCACTCATCCATCCATCCATCCATCCATCCATCCACTCATCCATCCATCCATCCATCCATCCACTCATCCATCCATCCATCCACTCATCCATCTATCCATCCATCCATCCATCCACTCATCCATCCATCCATCCATCCACTCATCCATTCATCCATCCATCCACTCATCCATTCATCCATCCATCCACTCATCCATCCATCCATCCATCCACTCATCCATCCATCCATCCACCCATCCACTCATCCATCCATCCATCTATCCATCCACTCATCCATCCACCCATCCACTCATCCATCCACTCATCCATCCATCCATCCATCCACTCATCCATTCATCCATCCATCCACTCATCCATCCACTCATCCATCCATCCATCCATCCACTCATCCATTCATCCATCCATCCATCCATCCATCCATGCATCCACTCATCCATCCATCTATCCATCCATCCATCCACTCCATCCATCCATCCACTCATCCATCCATCCACTCATCCATCTATCCATCCACTCATCCATCTATCCATCCACTCATCTATCCATCCACTCATCCATCCACTCATCCATCCATCCACTCATCCATCTATCCATCCACTCATCCATCCATCCATCCACCCATCCATCCATCCATCCATCCATCCATCCACTCACCCATCCATCTATCCATCCATTTATCCATCCCTCCATCCATCATCCATCCATCCACTCATCCATCCATCCATTTATCCATCCATCCCTCCATCCATCCATCTATTGTTCATTTTTATCTTTCTATATATCTATCTGTCTATTGTTCGTTTTTATCCATCCATCCATCCACTCATCCATCCATCTATTTATCCATCCATCCATCCATCCATCCATCCATCCATCCATCCATCCATCCATCCATCCATCCATCCATCCATCCATCCATCCATCCATCCATCCATCCATCCATCCAAAAGCTTAGAAAGAGGGTAGTTAAATATAGTGGGAATTCAAGGTGATAAAAAATATAACTAGTGAGAATATATGCAGAAGAGGCAGTCATTTGAAACATTTCAAAGAAAAGAAAGAGTGACAGAAACCAGACAGACACCGACTAATGAATGACCAGGCTAATTAATCAACATATCCACATTGAAATGTGAAACATTCCCGGTGAAATAAATAAAGCAAGAGCGACAGATTTTAATGGCCTGGTGTCCTGATTCCCCGCGCGGTTCCTGCGTTTGCCCCTGTTTTAGAGAGATCTTTATATATGGGTGGATAATAAGCTCTGCTGAGTATTGAAGACGAACACAGGGGCGTCTGGGAACCGGCTCTCATCCCGAGTTATTTCTGCTCAGTGTCCTCTCACGGCCCAAGAGCTTCCTTATTACCCTTCCTCCATTTACACACTAATACTGTTTGCGCTGCCCCGTCTGCTCTGGGAGACACTCCAGATTACATTATAGGGGACTGAGGGATGGGCGACCCTTGACGGGGCCTGACGGGAAAGGGTTTTCTCGGGAAAGGGAGGGGAGTGGTGCATTCTTCCATCAAAAAAACCTATTTAAGGCTGCACTTACTCAATTGAAGACATCTCACCGGCCTTTCCAACTGGGCCATTGTTCTGGCCACCGTGCATTAGATGTTCCCACTTGGGATCGTAATTGGAAAAGTCCACTCGGGAGATTGGCTCAGCTGTTGAGCTCGTCTAGTCAAGTCACATTTATTTATATAGCGCTTTTTACAATACAGAGTGTTTCAAAAGCAGCTTTACTGAGATAACAGGAAAATAATGCAAAAAAGGTTTGTTTCTAGAAGAAAATAGCGTCACAGTCCAGCTTGAGTAAGGTCAGTGATGGTTCATTTTTGTTGTAAAAAAGTTATTAATTTAGTTCATTTATATACAGGTGAAACTCGAAAAATTTGAGTATCGTGCAAAAGTTCATTTATTTCAGTAATTCAACTTAAAAGGTGAAACTAATATATTATATAGACTCATTACATGCAAAGTGAGATATTTCAAGCCTTTATTTGTTATAATTTTGATGATTATGGCTGACAGCTTATGAAAACCCCAAATTCAAAATTAGAATATTGTGAAAAGGTTTTCATATCTGTAAGCCATAATCATCAAAATTATAACAAATAAAGGCTTGAAATATCTCACTTTGCATGTAATGAGTCTATATAATATATTAGTTTCACCTTTTAAGTTGAATTACTGAAATAAATTAACTTTTGCACAATATTCTAATTTTTCGAGTTTCACCTGTAAATCCAACACGATCTCATGAAAGTGCGTATCTATACCACAAATTTAATTTCTCGTGCTATTTATACGCTAAAAATGTTTTTTTTTGCGTGCATATGCTACGCACTGTAAATCTCTGGGGTAGGATTAGGTGTGTGGAGTGCGTGTGTATTACACGCCAAAAAGTGCGCATCATATGCATGCGAAAACTGCGTATCATATACACACAGAAACTATTTTTGGCATATAAATGGCATGAGAAATTAAATTCGTGGTATAGATACGCACTTTCATGAGATCGGGCTGATATAGCCGGTCTGGAGAAAACCGTGATGTCATCTTCCAGCTCAGTTCAGTTCTTGTATATTCAGTCCTTCCAGAAAAACGCTGAGTTTTTTTGATTGTTGCGGGCAAAAATCCTTGATTATGCGGCCCGTTTTCTTTAAAAATGCAGTGGAATATGCGGGATATTTATGCAATTTTATGCGATGAAATTGCGGGAATTTGCAAAAACTGCAGTTTGATGAAAAAGAGAAGAAAAAAAAGTGATTCCCCCAACACCCTGTTCTCACTAGGCTCCTACCTTACTGTAAAGAGTCATTTCATATTACTTCCTACGATAAGCAAGCATATACATCACAGAAAGTGCTGCTGGGAATATTTCAGTTCTCTTATTTCAGACCTTAGTATACACATCAAACTTACAAAACATTGATGAGTCCAACAAGTTCTGTAGCTTTACAAAAGGAATATGCTACAACTTCTGTAAAAATGAATAAATAAAATATAAAAAAATAAAGTGTGCTCCTGTTTTACAGCTTTTCGATGATGTTCGCGTCGCGTAATTATGTCACTTCATAACGTTCCCATGGCAACAGGGGGAAACGGCGGCTCTCGTGTGAAGCAAACAACATTTTTCAACTTTCTGCTAAGATATGTGTGATTTTTTTTTGCAATGAAAATGCAAGGATTATGAAATCATGCAAGCCCCGCATATTTTGCACGTAAAGGCCCTTTCACACCGGACGCGTAACGGAAAAGTGAAACGGAAAAGAGAATAGTTCGCGTGCGAATAGTTCGCGTCAAAACCATTCACATCAGCCGCGACGCGAATTTGCGACGTTCAGAGCTTCAACATTGCAAAACTTTCGCGCCGACAGCTGAGAAAACACGGACACTTCATCATCATCATCATCATCATCATCACCATCCAGTGAAGACGAGCTTTTCGTTTTCTTTATAAAGACAGAAAAGAAGGTTTTGTGTGCACCCAATCTCAAAGAACAGAGAGTCTGAAGGGGAGTATGCTAATCTTGTAAAGTAGCTAAAACTTTGCCACAAAGAACCGGCCAAAGTAAGGATTATGCATTAAACATTTGAATTGTTTATTAATAAAGTGTTTTCTGTCAGTTTTTCGGTATGAGACGCGCTTCAGTTCACGCGCCGGCGCCTCCGTGTCCTAATTATATTGTCTTCTATATTTGCTTCTTATTCCTATTAATCCAGGCAATTTGTTGATAAAACATTGATTAAAATTAAGATACAATTTATACAAAACGAAATTCACTTTAAAGAAAGGCTTTCTACAAAACAAAACTTAATAAGTGGCCAAAATTATGTCTGACCCATTCCAAATGTTTTCGATCTTATGATCCTTATACTCATCTCATGCGGTTCCCTTTTCATATTGATCATCAACATAGATGAAATAAAAAAAATAGCATTATATTATTTAAACGTATATATGAAACATATGTTTTCTTTGAGTTTTTTAACTAATAGGTCTATTTAAGCATCCCCCCGCTCTGCTTTATTTACGCACATGCTCTGGTGTGTGGCCTATACATGCATGCACAAATAATATGAAACACACAACCATGAATGTTGAAAATATTCCAA